TACGATTTTTGGCTATTTTTCCCTATGAAAGTCGACCCACTAAACTTAGATTCTCACAACCAAGCTAAGAACATTCCCGTGACTCTCCCGAGTTCCCCAATCAAAATTTGAGGCAATCAAACAGAGATTACAACTTTATATAAATTGAAATACCAGGCGCAACATTGAAATTTTTTAAAAATCAACAAATAAAAACTGAAAAATCTGCGGAATTTTTTAGTTTTATGTTGGCATGGAATGCACCACAAACTGAACTAAAGTATTTAATGCAGTTGGTTTTTTAAAAACTGAAAATCTGAAATATTTTCTACGTTCTCTGTATTTGTTTGTGTAGCCCAAAATCCGCGTTAGTACAGACCACATTTCTCAAATCCCAAGTTTTTAAAAATCTTTTAAAAAATCTAAACGATTTTAAAAGCTCAGTTCTTCATGTAAAATGCAATCAATGTATAAACTTTGCTAGCCTGTCTGTGTGTTTGTCTGTTTGAATCCAATAAACGTCAAATTAAAAAATTTGCCACTAACAAAATTCTTTTTTTGGAAGTTTCAAAAATCCGCGAAATTTTTAGTTTATTTTTGTTATACAAAGAGAACATGTCACAATTGAAATAGAAGATGGGCGCGAAGCGCCCTAAATGCCTAGTAGTTTTAGATTGACATAGATTATGTTTTGAGTATGTTTTAGTATTAAATGTGGACTCATTAATAAATACAGCAAAGGAAAGGGGCGATTTTGAATAGGTGTCATGGATTGAACATTAAAACAACTTAAGTAAAAATGAAAATGAAAAATGAAATGAAAAATGAAAAAAAAATCTTGTAGAGAAAAAATTTTTGTAATTATCCATACTCCTAGGGTTGTTTTGTTTATCGTATATGTATATATTTGTAATTATACATACTCCTAGGGTTGTTTTGTTTATCGTATATATATATATATATCGTATATATATATATGTATAATATTTGTAATTATACATACTCCTAGGGTTGTTTTGTTTATTGTATATGTATATGGTTATCTAATGTTTGGATTAAAGTACTAGCTGGCTCTTCTACGTACACTGTATAATACCTAATCATTTATAAATACTGTTTTTATTATTACTTTAGTTTTATACAAGTTATTTAACCGATATTTTAGGCTTTACAGAGAAAACAGTTATTCTTTTATTATATTCGATGGCAATATGTATTTGATTGTTGTAATAAAAGAATATGTATAAAAGAGACTATAGGATATAAAAATAGTTGCTATTAAATACTACATATACATGCATATATCTACATTTTATACCTTATACAAAAATATATCATAAGATATTTTACTCCCGTCTTTTTCAAATTCACATTTTTATAATTTATGAATAATAACATCAAAATTTCAGAAAGTTGGCAAATTACGACGAAGAAAATGTTTAATTTGATGCGGGTTTTTAGCATGCAATTATTCTACAAAACCTAAACAACCTCTAAATACAATTTGCGTTTTTAAAATATTTTCTGGAATTCAAAGCAAGGATTGAAAGATAAGCCCAGGATGAATAGTAAAAAATCTGAATTGGCGTATTTAAAAATCTCAAGATAATATCTAATAAATTGCTATATTTAATGTTTTAATTTAAGTCAAGACAAAATTCTCGTAAATTTTTTTATGTTTTGTTGAGGTTGAGATTTAGCCGGGAGTTGACCACACTATAATGATATAAGTTACGTTTATATCCTCATATAACCGGGTAGGAACCAGAGTTAGAAGATATAGGGAGAACAGTTAGAGGGAAGGAAAAGTAGGATGACAAGGATATGTAGGATAAATAGGATAAGAGGAGGAGTAGGTGGAGTGGGAAGGAGTAGGAGGAGAAAGAGGAGTAGGATAAGTAGTATGAGACGTATAAGTAGGATGAGCAGAATGAATAGAATGAGAGGAATAAGTAGGGTGAGAAGGAAAAGTAGGACGAGAATGATAAGTAGGATGAGAATGGTAAGTAGGATGAGAAGGATAAGTAGGATGAGAAGGATGAGAATTGTATGGGTAGAATAAACAGGATGAGAGGGATGAGTAGGATGAGTAGGATGGTAGGATGAGTAGGATGAGTATGATGAGTAGGATGAGTGGGATGAGTATGATGAGTGGGTTGAGTAGGATGAGTAGTATGAGTAGGATGGAAAGAATGAGTAGGATGAGTAGAATGAGTACTGAGTCGAACAAGTAGGAAAAGTAGGATAAGTAGGATGAGTTGGATAAGTAGGATAAGTATTTTTAGAAGGAAAAGTAGAATGTTTTGGATGATATACAGGAACATTTAAAGACAAAAGATTAAAAAATATTAAAATTTTGAGTTTCTGTGACGTAGACTTTAACGAAAAAATTTTCTAACTTCATTCTTCAATTTATGAGGTTTGAGGGGTTAACCCTACCTAAATCTGTACAGATCAAACCTGTGGTGATTAGGGGGGATGCGCTGAATTATGTAATAAATTTCCTCGGATTTATTGATAGTAAAGACTTGGCGAGGAAACGAAATTTATTCTTAAATATTTTTTTTCATAGATACAGAGATACAGAGATACAAGGATACAGAGATACAGAGATACAGAGATACAGAGATACAGAGATACAGAGATACAGAGATACAGAGATACAGAGATACAGAGATACAAGGATACAGAGATACAAGGATACAGAAATACAAGGATACACAGATACAAGGATACAGAGATACAGAGATACAGATATACAGAGATACAGAGATACAGAGATACAGAGATACAGAGATACAGAGATACAGAGATACAGAGATACAGAGATACAGAGATACAGCGATACAGAGATACAGAGATACAGAGATACAAGGATACATAGATACAAGGATACAGAGATACAAGGATACAGAAATACAAGGATACACAGATACAAGGATACAGAGATACAAGGATACAGAGATACAAGGATACCGAGATACAGAGATACAGAGATACAGAGATATAGAGATAAATAGACATAGAGATACAGAGACACAGAGATACAGAGACACAGAAATACAGAAATATACATAGACACAGAAATACAGAGATATAGGGACAGAGTGGGAGAGACACCTACATAGATATAGAGATACAGAGATACAGATGTGCAAATATACAGAGATACAGATACAGAGACACAGAAATACAGAAATACAGAGATACAGAAATATGGAGATAAAGAGAGGTAAATACATGGAAAGATATAGATTGAATTCGGAGATTCAGAAATTAAGTTAAATGATTTTATAGATAGGAAAAAATCCAGACACAGGGTTGATGGTGTAGCACTTGGATGTATTTGATTCGATTGTATCAATATTTTGTATGTAAAAGTTCCTCCTTTTTTAGATATTTCAGAATACATTTGGTTTAAAATCCAATATTTTTAGATATTTTGTATAAAATTTCAATATTTCCAACGAAACTCTTAAATCGAAAACTGAGAATTTTGAGACGCCCTAAATTTAGAATTTGTTAAATCTGCGGATTTTTGTATTTTTGAAAAGAAAAGTTTCAACCTGAATTCACCCCAAGAACACCGTAACACGGTAACAAAAGGTTTTGTATGATATAGCTTTTCATGTGTAGCATTCACAATTCCGCTATTCAATTCTAGTCTCAAATTTGTCAGTTCTAAGGATTATAAATCTAGCATAAAGGGGGGGGGGGCAGGGTACAGGGGGGATAGGGGGGGAGCGTATCAGGTGAACAGACATTCTTACACAGGCATTAGGTGATAATTTTTATGCCAAAAAATGTAATAGACATTGTACATACTTTTTCCAGTCTATGAAGCAGAATATGATTCTTCACCCCCCCCCCCCTTTCCTTGGTAGAAAATTTAATGGGCCGAGCACTGCAACCACAGGTCTAGGTGGAAATTGCGTGAGACTATAGGGAAAAAAACTTATTCTATTCGATTAATAGCTCAATATTTTTTCTGTTCCAACATGATATTTACGATCCACGGAGGAAAACTTCTAAGAATTTTGTAAATAATTTGTAGAGAAATGTTTTTTCTTTTTCAATTTTACTTTGATTGACATTTCTACAGAAAACTTTAATCTTTAATATGACAATCTTTTAATACAATCATTTAAAGGTTGAATTCAGTATTCTGAATTCAAAACAGAAATGCGTACACCTGCAGGAAATTGACGATGCATAAAATAAAAATAAGACTAATCATATTGTGTACAACCATTTTTTTAAAGTATTAACCTTCATTCTCACCCGTTACTTATGTTTTAATTGAATAACTATATTCAGATTGTGCATTTCTAGTACGAAGTTTATTAACTATTTATATCCTTAATTAAAGGATATCAATTTATGATTCTTCAAGCTTTATGGGCCTAAACTTAATCTAAGAATTAATCTTCTAAAAGGAATTCAGTCTTTGCCACAAACTCAAATTTTCTAATCCCTATTTCGTTGCACTTACAACTTTCAACCTGCAAACAGAATTCATTGTTTGACATATCTATAGTCTACGACATTTGATTGAAAAGATATAGGGATTAAAAAATCACAGTCTGTGGCAAAGACTCACTTTCTTTTTATAAAAAGTTCTCCGCTAAATGTCAACCTTCAAAATTGTTCTCTGACCCGTGGTAAAGAATTAAACGGGTTTCACATGTGTATACAAAATATAGAACCATAGTCTCTAATATATCTTAATGACATACAGGGAAACCTACAGAAAATGAGATTTCACACAGACGACTGTAAGGAAACTTTACACCCATTTACGGTTCCGTGTAGCAGTAATCTTGATATTTTTTTTGCGAAATGATTTTCGCGAAAGGCTATTTTTTAAGCAGAAGATCAACATATGGATGTCACATATTATGAGTTTCAGGTTTTCATTAAAGTCGCATTGTTTGTGGGTAACCCTGTAGACTGTACTTGAAACTACACTCACTTGAGTCCCTCAAAATCTCGATTTAAGGATCAAAACTAAAAAACAGAAATTAAACTGATCATAGTTTATTGCTAATAGAAAGTGTAAATTTTACTCAACATTTTACAAACTGATTTCTTGACTGAATGTATAAAAATGGAAACGAAAAAATCCACGAAGAGAGCGAGAGAAAGAGAGAGAGAGGGGGGGAAGAATATCCTTGAATATCATCATTCTTATTATCACCATTTTCTGTGTCTTCTCTCCTAACTAACGATCCGAGAATCTCGTATTTACAGACGGGGGCGCGGAGGAATAAATTAAGAATAAATTTTACATTTAAACTTGCATCAATTCATCTTCCATACAGATATCGGATAATAGCTCCGACATGTCTGAACCCGAGAAATCAAAGTGGGACCTAGAGCTTAACTGGGAAGGATACATTTGCTCCATGTACTCCGGGAGCTGAAACAGGTCTGTGAGATCGTCCAAATCATCCAGACTACAGGGTTCATTTAGCTCAGTTACTTTAATGAGGAGAGGTTCGGTGATGGTTGTCATAGGCTTAGCTTTACATTGATCCCAGAGTACTGGTGAGGTAGGAGGGGTGAGTAGCTCGGTAGTTTCAGGAACCTCGTCCTGGAATATCTGGGTTGGAAGGGTTTCAGGAGGAGGACTCATAGACAGGTCGTGAGGAGATCCTAGAGAACCAGGAGAGGAACTTGTCGGACTCAGAGGAACCGTAGTGCTGTATTCCTTTTCAATCTTGAGCTGTAGCTGTGTGGTTGAGTAGACAAGCTCTTTCTTAATTCCGGAGACGGGTTTCAGAGCTGGTTTCGTCCTGCTAGGAAACACGATAGGTTTGTAGTTTATCTTAGACAAGAGAGATACAGTAGCCTTTCCTTTCTTCTTTGGTTTATACTTGTAATCTGGATACTCCTTCTGATGGAGTAATCTCAACCTCTCAGCCTCATCTATGAAGGGTTGTCTCTCCTCCTCGGAGAGGGTTCTCCAGGTTTTCCCCAGGTTCTTGGATATCTCAGCATTATGAGAATCTGGGTTCCTGTTTATAATCTTCCTTCTCTCTAGCTGGGACCAAACCATGAACGCATTCATCGGTCTCTTCACGTAGTTCTTCTTGTGCTTCTTCGTCTGAAATATAAAAACAAATATTCTTCCGAAAATTATTTTAAAAATATCTAGAAAAATAAGCCTTAATATATTTTTTAAATAAGGTGCGATAACGGATATATACGCTACACCGCTACAATTACTGTACGCATATTAAAATTAACAAGGGTGTCTAGTTCTGACGCATTTACGCAATATAAAACTGTCAAGAATATTAGAACATGCAGATCTAATCTGCTAGGACTGATGATATACCGTCAACTGGAATAAAAATAATTACATTTATGATTTAAGTAAAATACAAACTGTAAATCACAAGAAATATGTATTTTCACTTAGATAAGAGAAAATTGAATAATCAATAATAGCTCCTTGAATGTTAAAAAAATGTATGCAAAATTTATGTTAAGAAATTGCAATAAAAAACTGATTTCAATACGCAAATTAATTACAATTTTATAAATACGTAGTTCGTACAAAAATTATTTAATTCAGATAAGTTCAGTTTGCATTACGCAGTAAATTTACAAAGTGATAAAATCAAATTTTATTCAGTTGTTTGAAAATAGAAAAAAATGCAACGTCCCAAAAATATAATTAATAAAACGTTAAAACAGCAGACTTATTAACTAATCTGAATTTAACCTAATACAGATTATTTACGATTATTAATAAATCCTTCGACGACGCAAGAAGAAGCCATACAATTCAAGCACATTTCTACGCAATAAAACTGTGTCAAACATTTACGTAAATAATTCCTTTTCACCGATCAGACACGCGTTGCGGAGATTTTCTACGGAATTCAGAGAATTTATCGCATTTAATTTATACGCATTTGAGTGACGCAATAATTTCAAGAGATGACGCGAAAAAGATAACAAAAATTTCAAAGAAAATCGATGATAAAAAATAAAAGAAGATTAAATTTGAGTCTATATTTTCATAATCAAAGTTAAACCAAAGTCACTAATAAACTGATTTATCACATTTTCCTAAGTCCAAGAAAAATAAATTTCAACAAATTTGAAATCCGCGAAATTTGTTAATTATAAATTCTTTAGACGCTACCTGAGTTGCATCTGAATACGGAGTTTTTGATTCCGGATTAATGTGCAGAGATCTAAGCACTTGATCTTCACACTTCATTCTTGAACTAATCTAGTCCCATGTGCTTGTATTCGCTGCAAGGGTGTATATTCAACTGACGACTCTGCCGTCTGTAGGGCTCAGTTGTAAGTACTGAGTAGAGGGGGGGACGGGGACCGCGCGGAGCACACCCCCTTCATCCTCGCGACACACAGTAGACACCGGTTCATGGATATTCTCTCGCTGTATCATGCACCTCCCGTCTTCTCCCCGACAGCAGGCAGGGGTGTGAAGGGGGGGGGGGTAATTAGGCCGTATACAACAATTACAAAACATAAAATGAACGTAATATAGGATTTACACCAAAGTGTGTAATAAATAATACAACAGCTTGTCTAACGCCCAACTATATTAACGTTCAGATGAAATTAATTTATTTAAATGTTAAAAATTGAATTAAAAATTAAAATAAACTTGGAAACCGTTTTTTTTGGAATTGAGAGAAAAAAATTACAATGTGTTTTTAGTGGATTTTTTTTGTTTCTGTTTGTGTTCATGTTTGGTTTGATATATATACGATTAAAGGGGATCCTCCCTTGCTTTTGCCTCAGGCTGATTGCACAGTGCTCAGGGTCCTATATATATAACCAGCTATACATAATACAAGTATACAAATAGACAGTAAACCACCCATTTATAGAAAGCAAGGATACGCATAAGAAGAGAAAAGAGCAAGTAACTTTTGAATAAACAGAATTAAAATCAAACCAAATCAAAGTACTCGAACTGGAGATGTTGATAGATCCATTACTTTGTTGGAGCCAAATATCCAGTTTATAAATTGTACAATTTAAAAAATTCTGAAGTGATAACTTTATAGTTCAAAGGAATTGAGTTTTTGACACAATCTCTGAATTTCTAGTCTCCATATCTTTGTAACCAAATGTTGTAGATTTATTTTAGTACTTTATTAAAAATGAACTTTTCTAAAATACTATTTTGCAAATCATTAGATAAAAAGTCCTTTAAATATAGACAGTGGTTGAAGCTTGTACAAATATATCAATACACGTCTTTCTTTAAAATTTCATTTCTCCCTTTACCTACCTACCTACCTACCTACCTACCTACCTACCTACCTACCTACCTACTTACCTACCTACCTACCAGCCTACCTACAGAGCGTCCCATATCATATTAGATTATCTCCAATCTTTAACACCAAAATAAACCCTTAATACTCGAAAAACTTATCATTTTCCGCAAGAAAATTCGTATATAAGCCTTATGTTATTTTTCAAAATGATTCATTCTAATGAAATTTTCTAATTAGTCCCGAAAATCGTAATTTAGACCCGTTCTCGGTCTAATATGATGTGGGACACCCTGTACCTACCCTTACACACACATTTCTATACTAAATTATATTACTTCTGATAGTTTGTCTTTCTTTTTTTAAATTTTTACTTAAAACGTGTAAATATTATTTTCATATTTTTCTTCAAAATGATCTTATCAATCTCAGAAAATGATTTTGCATGAATTTAGAAACTAGACGAATGATGTTTATGTGGTGAGAGGTTTCGTGATTCTTAACCAGCATTTTGGGAAACTTGATATCGATTCTTAACAAGCATTTTAGGAAACTAGATATCGATTCTTAACCAGCAATTTAGGAAACTAGATATCGATTCTTAACCAGCAATTTAGGAAACTAGATATCGATTCGTCCACAAATTAAATACCTCCATTTGTTTACACAAGAAGTGTACTGCAATTAAATACCTCCATTTGTTTACACAAGAAGTGTATTGCAATTTGTGGAAGAAACGGAAGCAAGTTAGAACTTTTTTTTCTTACTTTTCTACTTTGGCGAAGAGCTTGATATATCTCAACTATTTGTAAACTTCACGTTAGATTGAAATCTTTTATGTTTTCAATCATGAAAATATTTTAGATTTAAAAAAAATTATTTCGCTGGTCTCCCACTTGGGCGTAAAATAACTCTAGAGGAGCTACGAGGTCACAAAGTCGTACCAGTAATGTCACTTAAATTTTACCTTGTCCTTCTGTCATAGTTTGCAATAAATGCTCAAACATTTCGTAAAATTAAATATTATTTTTGCAACACGTGTTATAAAGTTTTTCCATAATCGAGAAGGTTTTCGACTTTTTAGATATACTCATAAACAAACTGAACACTAGCAACAAACTGAACACTCGCTACAAACTGAACACTAGCAACAAACTGAACACTCGCAACAAACTGAACACTAGCAACAAACTGAACACTCGTAACAAACTGAACACTAGCAACAAACTGAACACTCGCAACAAACTGAACACTAGCAACAAACTGAACACTCGCAACAAACTGAGCACTCGCAACAAACTAAACACTAGCAACAAACTGAACACTCGCAACAAACTGAACACTAGCAACAAACTGAGCACTCGCAACAAACTGAACACTCGCAACAAACTGAGCAGTCGCAACAAACTGAACACTCGAAACAAACTGAACACTCGCAACAAACTGAACATACGTTACAAACTGAACACTAGCAACAAACTGAGCACTCTTAACAAACTGAACACACTTAACAAACTGAACACTCGCAACAAACTAAACACTCGCAACAAACTTAACACTCTCTACAAACTGAACACTCGCAACAAACTGAACTTTCGCAACAAACTGTACACTCTTAACAAACTGAACACTCGCAACAAACTGAACACTCGCAACAAACTGAGCAGTCGCGACAAACTGAACACTCGCAACAAACTGAACACTCGCAACAAACTGAACACTCGCAATAAACTGAACACTCGCAACAAACTGAACACTTACAACAAACTAAACACTCGCAACAAACTGAACACTCTCTACAAACTGAACACTCGCAACAAACTGAACACTCGCAAAAAACTAAAAACTCGCAACAAACTGAACAATCGTAACATACTAAACACTTTCAACAAACTGAACACTCGCAACAAACTGAACACTCGCAACAAACTGAACTTTCGCAACAAACTGAATACTCTTAACAAACTGAACACTCTTAACAAACTGAGCAGTCGCAACAAACTGAACACTCGCAACAAACTGAACACTCGCTACAAACTGAACACTTGCAACAAACTGAACGCTCGCAACAAACTGAACACTCGCAACATACTGAGCAGTCGCAACAAACTGAACACTCGCAACAAACTGAACACTCGCAACAAACTGAACACTCGCAACAAACTGAACACTCGCTACAAACTGAACACTTGCAACAAACTGAACGCTCGCAACAAACTGAACACTCGCAGCAAACTGAACACTCGCAACAAACTGTACTCTCGCAACAAACTGAACACTCGCAACAAACTGAACACTCGCAACAAACTGAGCAGTCGCAACAAACTGAACACTCTTAACAAACTGAACACTCTTAACAAACTGAACACTCGCAACAAACTGAACACTCACAACAAACTGAACACTCGCAACAAACTACCATTTTTGAATCTTTACAACTTTGCAACTTTATTGGGAAAAACTTTAATATTTCAAACTTTGAATATTTGATTTGAAGTTTGATTTATTAAACGCCTAGGAAATTAGGTTGCAAAATAAAGGTGAAAAATAGAGTTCGTGACGAGTTTTCCGTTCCTATCTGACCAAAACCTTAAAATCACTGCTTACTGAAATAATAGTGCTTTAAATATTTATTATTAGAGGAATAGTGACCCAATAAAAAATTTAGTTTAAATTTTAAAAAATCTTGTTCGCAAAATACAAGCAGATAATTAACAAAATGCTTTTATTTTCTGCATTTTCTTAAGTTATTGAAATTTCTTAATATTGACTAAATTTCAGCTTATGACTATAAATTTAAATTGTGTATAGTGTATGTATCATATTTAGTGTACATATTTAGATAAAAAAGAAATAGCCTTTGTCTCTAAAATTAAATAAGTAATTATTAAAAGGAATTGGGTGTTTGGCAAAAGCTCAGATTTTCTATTACCTATATCTTTGCAACCCGATGTCGTAGACCTTAGATATTTCAAACTATGAATTATGTTGGATCAAATAGTATAAGTTTGAAATATCAAGGGTTTCCACCATCAGACTGCCACGATATAGGAATTAGAAAATTTGAATTTGTGGCAAAAACTCAATTCCTTTGAAAAATAAAAGTTTTAACACATAAAAAATAAGATTTTGAGATTTAAATATAATTTAGCTTTCTAAATGTTATGACATTTAACCAGAGAAAAATCAAAATGAATTCAACCATTACAGGGTTAGGAAATCCACTCTTTTGTTTCAACATGTTGTTGATTCTAATACTAAAATATATATTTAGAAATTAGAGGAAAAGAGATTATTTTCTAGCAGTTTATATGAAAAATGATGAGTAAAGAAATCAAAAATATATATTAAGCGATCTGTTGGTTTTTCTGTTTGTTTGTATTCAATAAACGGGAAAACGGCTGAACCGATTAGGCCAACATTTTGTATAACCTCACAAGACCCTCAGTGCCTGGAGAGTTTAGGGTTGGTCGATATTGAAAAAAATGTTCCTAGAAAAAAGAAGTTTTTATTTTTTTTTGTAAATCCGTCAATTTAAACAGACAAAATTTTGGAAATATTTAGGTCCTTAAAGTGTGAAGAAAAAGGACAGTTATAAATGCTACTTTAAAAAATCTAAAATTGTTACTAGAAAAAGAAGCCAAGTATAATGTATTTCTTAACTTATTATTTTCTATTGATGTGCAAACACTATAAAGCTATCATATCAACGTCGCATCGTAACAATTTTACATTTGATTAAAGATGCAATTAGAATTGATAAAACATTTATCAAGTTACGATGCTTCACACTTTGTGAAATTTGTTTAAATGGACTGTATACTGATTTCCGTCTGTGTCACGTGATCAGTATACTGCACTGCCATTGGCTGAAGTTCTGGTGACGTGATACGGACTTTACGGATTAAATGTAATAATATTATCATTTATATTTATTAAAAATGCAAAATAAAAATTAAAGAATTATGATAGGAGCAAACCTGAGATTCTCAGGCTCCTCTGGGATATAATCGTTTTCAGATTGCTGAATATCATCTGTTTA